TTTTATTAAGTATTGTGACTCAATCACTTGTTTATATGGTGAGACTTTGTGATGGTAAATGGGACCATGATTGAAAGTCCAAGGAAATTATTCCTCTATGTGCGGGTGACCCTGGCCACTAGGGAACAGATTCGGAGGAGGCTGAGGTGACCCTATTGTTCAACGATTGAAAAAACAATATCTTGTGCATCCTGGTGACCTTCACTGGATCGTCTTAGGGAATAGTTCCCTGGTGACAACCCTTGGTGACCCTAAGTACGATGTTGGATCCAAACCTTGAGATATATTCTAGCATTTGGTTAAAAGTCCAAAAAAATTATTCCTCTGTGTGCGGGTGACCCTGGCCACTAGGGAATAGACCCGGGGAGGCTGAGAAGACCCTAGTGCTCAACGGTTGAAAGAATAATTTCTGGTGCGTCTTGGTGACTTTCACCAAATCGTCTTAGAGAATAGTTCCCGGGCGGCAACCCGTGGTGACCCTAACTACGGTGTTGGATCCAACCTTGAGATCTTCTGGCATTTAGTATGGTTTTCAGATATCGTACAAGTCCTTACCAGTATGAAATGATGATATAATTTGTTATTGTATGTTTTTATTGGCTTTGTTTATGATTATCTACCGTATGTCGTACGTATTTTCTTGTTATCAGTTATTGTATTTGGTATTTGGTTCCCATCAATTATTGGACATCGTACAATCTCCCCCATTATGATATGATTCATCATTGTGGTATGATTTCTTGTTGAAATCCGACTATATTATTCTTGAGAAATTGATTATCTTGATGAAGTTATTTTTCTAAACCTTTGATTTACATGTCGTATGTCAAATCTGTTTTTCAGCTACTTTGAATATGCATGCCTTTCTATTCATTGGGCTTTTTAGCTCATGTTTTCAAAATAATATTTTCTCTAGGTAAACGATTGGAGTGTCAATAGCAGACTCGGGCAATTGATCGAGGACTAATAGTGTTGTGACCTCCGTAGCATGATTATTGGGGCAAACAGGTTTAGGTATGTTAACTTTGACATATTGACATGAAATCAATTTAGTTTTAATGTTTTTTTTCACTCCTATATTATTAGTTTATTGTTAGGCTTATGTGTTTCATAGGTTATGGATCTATGATTCACGGTCGGTCATGCTCTTGGAGTTGGGGTGTGACAGCCCAAGTGTCGAAGGAAAAAAACTTCATCATGGATTCCTCGAACTATTTTGTTAGATGGTATTCTTGGCCTTCCTTCTTACTCGCAGGAATCGTGTTTCTTTCAAAGGGGGAGAATTGATAGCGTAGCCCATAATTGTCAAATCGTGTATCAAATGGCATATCGTTTTTTAAAAATAGTATATCGTATCGTGTCGTGTATCGTAAGATACGCGCAATTTTAATTTTTAAATAATTATTAATAAAATATATATATATATATACCTTTATAAAAAAGTCATAGACTAATAATAATATAGCATTTCATTAATATTCCACCAACTATTTAAGTTTCCAACATAGTTCAATAATATCAAAATGCTAAGATCTCTAATTCATACTTTTAATATCAACTACTTGAAAAACTTTAATATTAATCAGGAATTTTGAATTTAATTGAACAACATTAACATTAGACTTTGTTTATTTTTTTTAAACTATAACCACTGAAACGACGTTATTTTACTAGCTAGTGATTTAAAAATAAATCTTAAAGTAAAACAATATCATTTCAACCCCAAAAAATAAAAGAAAAATTAAAAAACAGAATCATGTATCGGGTGTATCGTATCGTATCATGTATCGTACGATACAGAGACACGATACATATTATTTTTCAGGTGTATCGTGACGTATCGTACGATACTAATAACTATGACGTAATCATAAAATGGTTAGCCAAATGTGACTAGATCTAAAAGCCTAGGTGAGGCTAACAGAATCATGTATCGGGTGTATCGTATCGTATCATGTATCGTACGATACAGAGACACGATACATATTATTTTTCAGGTGTATCGTGACGTATCGTACGATACTAATAACTATGACGTAATCATAAAATGGTTAGCCAAATGTGCCTAGATCTAAAAGCCTAGGTGAGACTAGATCGTAGATTTGTTAGAATTTTTATTTTTTATTTTTATTATTTATTATTTGAATTTTAGTTAGATAGTATTTATCAAATTGAGATTAGTAGGGATAAGTTGACAAAGCTTTAATAGTAGAGTAGTTCATTTATGATAGGACACTCGATCTATAAATAAGAATATACTATACATTATTTTAATCGAAGTTTAATATTAGATTGAGAATTTTCTGTGAAGATTTGTGTTTCTTTACTTAATCCTTGCAAGGATTCAGAATCCCTTTTCTTTCCCTTCCCTCCATACATCATGTTCACTATGAATGTTCCTAAATCTTTTTAGAGGGATGCAATTCTTATTGTTGCTTATCTTATTCATCATGTACCTTCAAGTATCATTCAGTTTAAGTCACCCATTGATGTACTCTCTAGGATTTTTTTTTATTCCTGTTGTTTCTTCCATTCCTCCTAAAATTTTTGAGTGTTTATTTTGTACATGATTTCAAATTATTCAAGGGAAAACTTGACCCCAAAATTTTGCGTTGTATTTTCATTAGTTATTCTACTACCCAAAAAGATATAAATCTTATCATCCACAATCTCAAGAGATATATGTTAGCATGGATGTAACATTTCGAGAATAAGTCTTTTTTCTCCTACTTTTCAACCATTTCTACGGGGAAAATATCATTATTGAGGAAGAGATGGTAAGTCGAGAGCCTCTTCTTCAATTGTCAATTCAGTGGAACATTAGTAGGGGGAGCAACAACTTATTGAGCAAAAAAATGATATTAATGGTCCACCTAATCTGAAGACTTATTCTCGAAGTCAAAAAGTGCAGATTACCTATATGTCACCGAATCAGTTGCATTCCCCAACTTCAGTTCAAGCATCTTCCAGTGATTTATTATGTAATGAACTTCCGGAGCTATTACTCTTGTTACTGATAAAAAACTTGATTATTCTAAACTACTTATTGCAGTCAAAAAGGGTGTTAGAACTTGCACTGAACATCTCATCTCTAATTTTGTCTCTCATGATTCTTTGTCTTTATCCTATCAAGCTTTTGTTTCCTCCTTGATTTCAATATTTATTCTTCAGGTTTAGAAAAAAGCTCCCGCTAATCCTAAATGAAATGAAGCTATGGCAGACGAAATGAAAGGAATGACACATAGGAGTTGGTTTCTCTTCCAGCAAAGCAAGAATTGTAGGGTGCAAACGGGTGTTCACTGCGAAGCAACAAGTCGATCAAATAGTCGAGATGTTAAAATCTAGACTAATTGCTAAGGGATTCACTCAGATGAATGGCATTGAATATCATGACACTTTTGTTCATATGACAAAGATGAACTCTACACATGTTCTCTCTTTTGCAACTAATTTGGATTGTAGTTTACAGTAGTTGGATATGAAGAATGCCTTTCTTCATTGAGATTTGCCAGAAGCAGTATATAGAGATCTCACCGGGCCTTTTACTCTAGTTAACTGAAGGAAAGGTATGTAAGTTGAAGAAATCTCTTTATGAACCTAAAATGTCTCCCAGAACTTAGTTTGATGGGTTTCTTAAAACCATGCTGAAATTTGAATTTAAACAGAATCATACTGATCACGCTATGTTTATCAAACAAATCAATAATTAGATACTTGTTCTCATTATATATGTTGATGACATAGTGATAACACATAATGTTGTACCAGAAGTCACCAAACTCAATGCTCAATTAGCTAAGGAGTTTGAAATCAAAGACTTAGGTCCCTTTGAGATACTATCTTGAGATTGAGAGTTGTCAGATCAGATAAAGGCTTTTTTATCTGCTAAATAAAGTATGTTCTTGACCTTCTTAAAGAAACAAGCATGTTGAGCTGTTGACCTATAAATTCTCATATCGAAGCTAATCATCAATTGAGTGGTAGTGTTGAAAGCAGTAGATAAGGAAAGGTACCAAAAATTAGTAGGGAGAATGATTTATTTCTCTGATACTCAATCATAGTCATATATCTCTTATGCAGTGCGTGTTGTCAATTAGTTCATGTATGATCCTCCAACTCCTTATCTTGAAACTATTTATCGTATTTTGAGATATCTCAGGGCATGGTTCAGTGGATGATAAACGTTCTACTTCAAGCTATTACGCATTGATAGGAAGGAATCTTATTACTTGGTGTAGCAAAAAGCAAGCAATGATAGCTAGATCTAGTTTAGAGGCTGAATACAGAACAATAACTCATTAATGAGCTTACGTGGCTCCAAATCTTACTGGGAGAGTTAGGAAATGAAGGACCTATAAGAATATACAGTGTTAATAAGGCGATTATCAACATTGCTCATAATCTAGTTCAACATAATAAACAAACCATATTGAGATTAATCGACACTCTATCAAAAAATAAAAATAAAAAAGCTAAACAAGGGTTTAATTTGCATTCCCTTTGTGAAATTAGAAAATCAATTGGATGATGTTTTCACTAAGAGGCTTACTAACAAGAGTTTTCACTCCATTTTTTGCAAATTGGGCATGAGGGATATATATGTACCAACTTTGAGGGGGAGTGTTGTGCTATGTTTTATTTTTCAATTTAAGGGTATTTTTATATTTGGTATTTATATAAAGTCTAAGGTGTATTTGTGTAACTTCACACTACTCTCTACGTAATATTTTTCTTCCTTCTCTCTTCTCTTATCTCCCAACCCTTTCATTCATCCTAAAACCCTAGACTTTCACAGTCTAACTATATTGTAGATGGGTTATCTACTAAAATGATTGAACAATATGTATTTTTTAACAATTAAGATTCATGGATTTTTGAATATATTTTGAATGAACTATTGTAATCTGAAATACGTTTTTGAATCAACTTATTTTCAAATATATATATCTTTTCCGTATCTATATCCTAACTATAGGTTTTGCACTTTAGTTATATTCGTATTATTTCATACCCACACCCTGCATTTGTGTTGATGCTTCATCAGTACCATCATTACTTCGCTTGACGCTTCCACAGGTTATGTTTCCAAGCCTATATATATCTTGGATACATAACACCTTCCTACACACTTATCTTAAGTACGTATTATATATTTGTATAATTTTCCATATAATATATGAGTATTTGACTCTTGTTGCAAACAGGAGCCTAAATTAGATAAATTGAGGCAGCAATGTAAAATAACAATGAAAGGTGATCCACAGATTTTACCACTCATGGGAGATTATAATCAATATGCTGAGAAGTAAAATAAAGCTGATGGCTATGGTTATAATTTTACTTTATTTAGCATTAAATGTAACTAGCTCAAGTCATATAGCATCTACACTCATAAACCAGCACACTATGTTGATCTGAGATGGTCCTGCCCAAAGCAAAAATTCATCAGGAAATCAGAATAAGTAAGTTGGAATAGCAGTTGATTATCTAAAGTGTTGAATGTACTCACATGGAGATATTGTTTCTAAAGTGAGTTGGTTAAGGTTTTAGGATCGAATTTACATGGTTAGAATTAGATTAGCCAACTACAAGTTGCAAAGGAGTAAGGGTGAAAGAAAAAATAGGGAGCTAACAATTCTGTTAACTGCTGAAAAGTGAAATATTTTACTAATTCCTCCGTTAAGTGTGGTGGATAACACACTCATGTACCAACTGCGTAGAAATAATTTATTTGAAGGGGGTCTACACTTTTTAAGTTGTTGAAATGTGGGGTCCAAGCCAAGCTCGGTTTAGCCAGTAGAAATTCAAAACCAAGCTCAAGCCAAGTTCAAACCCATCAGGTAGTCTCTCGGCTCAAGCTTAAACAACCAGTCATTCACCTTCAGTTCGGCCCATTCACAACCGTGGCTGATTTACGATCATAGGATATGGATGCGGCCACATATAAATCCAATGGCTACAAACTTGAACGAAGTCCAAAAGTTGCAGACAATAAGCAATTCCAGGCTTCCAGCAACAAAACAGATCATATATCAGGAACTTTGGGGACTAAACAAAGTCAATTTACACAAGACACCTAACAAAGAAAAGCACAAAAGCTGAACTTTTATTTCAGCAATCACTACTTAACTAAAATCTGCACTACAATATAAACGTTTGTAAATTAGTAATTTAGCCCCCATGTAAATTACTTTGTCACTAGTTAACCCCCAAATGATCACCATGAATAAATAATGCGAATCAATAAATAAAAAAAAGAACTAATAATTTGAATCAAATCAGATCAACCATTATTCTTCCTTTTGTGGGCCTAATTGTATAAAGCGCACACAAACAAAAAAGAAAAAGAAACACTTCTTTCCCAAACAGCAACTTGATCCTGGTCACATCATCATCTGTAAAAGATGCAACTAATTAAAGATCCAATTTGCCATCACTTCAGCATTGCAACTATTTACTCACAAGTAAAATGATTCAATAAAGAGGGGTGTCATCGTATCCTAAAAATAATCCTATTCGCTCACAAATTTCCACTGCGAAGAATTGGCAGTCAACAAGGTTAAGAACAAAAATTAATAAGCAATTGTCAAGGGAAGTTCCTTTTTTAAGGCTTTATGAAAGACAGTTATGCATGGCAACTGGAAACTATCCATATGTTTGTACAAAGTAACAACGCAAGATAAGATTCATTACGGTTTGGTCAATAAATTTCATAGTCAAAAACAAACCGGGCAACAAAATTTACCTGGTAGAAGTATAACCGACTAGAGAGGGCCCCTACATCAAGTTCCCAAGTCCTGGAATTTCCAACCCATCCATCTCCTTGGTTTGCAGGGTAGCCATGCACAGCCCACTCAGGATGTGGTAGAATTTGTACCAACTCTTGTGCTTGTGGATTGCTATATGGGTCACAGATGTCATATGGTTTCTCCAAATAATTGCCATTTCCTGGCGCACAGTAGAGATGGTAGGCAGAGTACGGAAATCGTGATGTATCATTCCTATAAATTGTCTCCCCAGCAGCACTGATGTGGTAAGGTGGGCAGTTCCCTAGGTTATCTATGCGGCACCAGCTTGTAGTTGCAGGATTGATGATCATCTCACTATATCTAGTCACATCTGTTAGAACATCTCCATTGCATGGATCTCCATTGTTCTTCCAACAACTTCCTATATCAAGTAGATAAAATTGGCTGTTGGGCCCTCCTCCTTGTTTAACATCCACAGACAATTTTACCTTAAAATTGGGAGATTCCGGCACCTGAGAGGAAAATGCAGGTCAGAAATTTATTTTTCTCATATAAGCCTTCACGTATAATAGAGAAGTACTGAAGAAAAAATGATACAGGTTTTGAGAACTACTCACTATATGCTTTCATGAAATCATATAATTCCCGGAGATTAAGACAAAAATGTCCTCAAAATTTTTCTAGAATTATTTCCTAGTTCACCATTACATAGAGAATGGGAAAATATTTTCTGCCAGATCCTTATATCAATAGGCACCAAGTCCTATGTAGAGTAACTGGTCAAAAGCCATATATACGGACAACAATTTTGACAGCTAGGAGGAGGAAACTATGGTACAGACCTTTCTCATGATACCCCGACCACCATAGTGATAACCTCCATTAAATCCTTTTGTTGAATCTGCCCTTAGATACAACATAAGCCAAGGATACTTAGAAGATGTTGTTAATCTATTCGAGATAATCCAACTCCCTGTGCTCAGATTTTTCCGCCATGAAACAGAGAAGAAAGAGTTCTGCCCTACACCTGTGCTCAAATTGGTGTCAAGGTCATACGTCCCATAAAAACCTCCACTCAAAGAGACCATTTGGTCCCCAAAAGAAACCACCCTTGAACGATTATGGTACACAAGTGGTTGATTCATGCAGCCTTCACCAAAACATGGAAATCTTCTGTCCGTCTCTATTCTACTAACTTTATGGCCATTTTCAGGACAGATGGTTGTGTTTTTGTCAAAGTTGCCATTTTTTAGCATTATCATCCAAAAGTGCCACGGTTCTGCAGACTGATGAACTTCACATAAAGAACCAAGATATAATTCTTTTTCCACAGCATAAAGATCAGGATCAGTGTACGGTTTAAAATCTGTTACAGGAAATTTATTGCCAGCCCCTAGTCTGTTGTCTGATTCCTGCACCTGGTGATGTACATCACACTTGTCACTTCGTAGATCACCCCGGAAGTCTTCAACAAGACAACATGGAACCAGAATGGATCAGTCAGGAGATAATAGTTTCAAATCAATGTAAATGAAAACCATTTCTTTGTTGATATTATAATTAGCAACGGTAGATGAGTTATATGTTTCATTTGATGTAAACTGTAATGGAACTAGCTCAGTATAAATCAGCATGTTTGATCGCAAGATGCAGAAAAATTAGCACATTCATTGGGAATCTGTTGAGTTAGAGATAGAAAACTTCTTAAGCCATATAGTCAGCCTCTCAACTAATAGCCTCTTCCCCCAAACACACACACAATGGGAAAAGGGGAAGAAAGAAATAAAGAAGGAAGCAGTCAATAAGCATTAGAACAATTGCGCAAAAGTGGAGTTTGTTGATATTATTGAATGGCAGTTGTACATGAGGACAAACATCTCTCTTTAACCTGCCTTGAGTGTAGGAAAAAGTGATAGTAACAAGTTGTCAAATAAAACACCAAAGAAGAGCCTTGGAAACTCCATGATGCATGCAAGTGCACACACAAGCAATAAGATAATCATTTTGTCAAGTATCTATATACTATATCCACAGAAACATAATTCTCAAGTTATTCAACTATTTGCCCAAATTTATCCTCACCTCATTGAGATTGTTAAGTTTAGAAAAAAGGTATCACTTAACACAATATAAGAGAGGCAAAGAGTAGTGTAACTTATCCTATCTCTCACTCTCAACTTGTATATAGAGTTACCTAATAAAATACACAAAACCAATATACCCTCAGAGAGGTATACTTTTTACAACTATATTAAATAATAATAATACTCTCAACATTCCCCCTCAAGCTGAAGTATATATATCATATAATTCAACCTTAGAATAGATGGTTGTAAGGCGAGTGCAATTCAATACCTTGGTAAACATATATGCTCTAATTTCACAAATGGTGTTGCAATATCCATCTAGTATCTTGTCTCGAATAAAGTAACAATCAACTTTAATATGTTTGGTACTCTCATAGAATACGGGATATGAAGAGATGTCTAATAACCATAGAACATTTGTAAGGGAAGTTGAACTAGAAAACTAAATTCCAGGAGAAAGTGTAGTAACCAAGTCAACTCACCGGTTGTATGTCATTGATCTATACTCAGACTCAGCACTGGACCGTGCTACCACTGTTTGTTTCTTACTTTGCCATATAATAACATTACCTTCCAAGAAAGAACAACAACTAGTAGTTAATCTTCGATCCAAGGGAGAACCGGCCTAATCAACATCTTTACAACCTTCTACTCTAAGCTGCCAATTAACTCGATACAACAACACAAGTTTGGGGACATGTTTAAGGTATCGAAGAATGCGAATGACTGCATCCCAATGTGGTACTCCAGGGCATCCTATAAACTAACTCACAATACTAATTGCATAGGCAAATACATATTTTCTCTAAGACAAATAGATGCTATACTTAGAGCTAACAACTTCAATACCCAAGTACTTGAGTTTTCTTAGGTCTTTAGTATAAAATCAATCCTGCAAAAGATTTTTAACTTTGTAATATCCTCATAATTATTACCAATAATTTCAATATTATCTACATAAACAACTAATATAATATATCCTACAACAATATGTCTGTGAAAAATAGAATGGTCTGTCTGCTATCTGAGAAGACTACACTCTAAACTGCATCTAAAAACTTATCAAATCATGCCATAAGTGACTGTTTTAAATCATACAAAAACTTCCTTAGTCAACACACACTCTTATAATACTGCCCCTAAGCAACAAACTCGGGTGATTGCTCCATGTAGACTTCCTTAACAAAGTCACCATATAAGAATGCATTTTTGAAATCTAACTGAAACAAAGATCAATCAAGATTAGTAGCCAAAAAAATCAATACATGGACAGAAGAGAAAACAAGAGAAAAAGTCTTCTTGTAACCAACACTATAGATTTGAATAAAGCCCTTGGCAATAAGATGGGCTTTTAGGTACTTAACAGAACCATCGGGATTAAATTTGACGATATACACCCACCGACAACTAACAGTCCATTTACTAGGCAAAAAAAGAACTAAATCCCTCCATTATAATATAAAGCATCCATCTCCACTTCCATAACTTTCCTTCAACCCACATCAGACAACGCATCCTGCAATGTCTTAGGAATAAAAATAATAGATAGCTGAGATATAAATTAAGAGAAGGCAAGGGATAATGTATCATAAGAAACAAAATTAATAAGAAGATGGTTAGTATCACAAGACCAAGTACCTTTACGAAGAGCAATAGACAAAGAGTCAAAAGGAACTGAGGGACAAGGATTAGAAGACCGCAAGGAATATGGGAGGGGCACCTTAGTCAATGATTTCAAAGGACGAGAATATACCTGGAATAACAGAGAATCATAGTAGGCAATGGAGTAACAGAGGGTAAAAGAAGAAGGGGTGGAGGGAACTGCCCAAAGTCAAGGCCCAAAGGATTAGTTGGAGCTAGAAAATATGGGTCCGATTCAGTGAAAGTGACATCAGCACTGGTGAAGTATTGGCTAAGTGTGGGATTATAGCATCAATATCCCTTATGTATGCGAGAATAATCAAGAAAGCCACATTTTTATAGTATAAGTGGCAAGTTTATCAAAACAGGAACCTAAGTTGTGAACATAATATACACACCCAAAGACCTTAAGAGGTAAGAAAAATAAGGGAGAATTGAGATAGAGGACAGAATATGGAATTTGCTCATTGAACACTGAAAAGGGCATACGATTAATGAGATGACAAGCTGTAAGAACAGCATTACTTCAAAAACATCGAGGAATATTCATTCGAAATAAAAGTGTGTGAGTCACTTCCAACAGATGACAATTCTTATGCTCAGCTACACTATTTTGTTAGAATGTGTAGGCACATAAAGTTTGATGAATAATGTTAGTTTTACGAAGACAAGTAAGGTATGAGTCATATTTACGAGCATTATCAAAACGCAAAATCTGAATACGACAACCATACTTAATTTTTATTTCCTTACGAAATGTCTCAAATGTAAGAAACAACTCGAAACGAGCTTTCATAAGAGATAACTAAATTACATGAGAATAATTATTCACAAATGAAACAAAATAAGAAAATTTATTAAATGAAATATTCTTTATTAGATCCCATACATTATAATGTATTAACTCAAATGGATTAGACACATGATTATTGACACTAGACAGAAATGACACACGGTGATGCTTATTAAGTTGACAAGTTTCACAAAACACAGGCGAGACATAACTAAGGCTAAGAACTTGACGCTTCAGGTTCTCCAGAGAGGTATAACCAAGTCGGCAATGCCACTTAAATGGAGATGATGATGAGGTCTGAAGTACGTGAGGAGATGGATCAAGGTCAAAATGTCATATATGATTGAAATGGTGGCTTCTGAGACATGAGCAGTGCACTTGGTGGTGCTGGCAATGATGATGATAATAGTGTCCCATAATGCAATGATAACAGTGTCATCGGATGGTTGTGATTATTTGTATTTGTGTGTTAAAGTAATAGTTTAGATGTATTGGTGAATCTATACAATGAATAGAGTGTATAAAATGAATAGATCCTTTGAGGACAATAGTTTAAGTGTATAAATTGGGTAAATTATTAACCTCAGTTCCTCGGATACAAAACCGATAGTTAAGGTAGATGAATGTACCTTTACCATCCTCTTGCTATTGAAATTGTTTACCAATTTTCTCTTGCTAATGTCCATTATTCTGTTTGTATATTTTTTTTGTTCTCACAGTGCCTTTTGTGTCTTTGTAGATAATCACTATCATGAAAGTTGGGGAGACGCTAGAGAGAAGCTATGTGAAGCTATTGAAGATTTGAAGCTGGATTGCTTGGTTCAGGGAAACATAGTACTTAGCACCATTCAAAGGTACTTCTTCCTACTGTCATGAAACTTCTGAATGTTGCTCATTTGTCGGCTATTATATTATGCGGTTTTTATAAATTGCATCTACATGTGTTAAGTGGCTTCGTGATTTCACTCTTCTCTTGCCACTTCGTCTTCCGAAGCAACACTTTGCAATGCCAACAATTGACTATTATGGACATTGTTTTTGTGAATTGCCTGTCAATATTTCCTTATTTCATGCAGCTAAAAACCAATTGGCTTGTTCACACTTTGGCCCTTAATAGGATGCATGCATTTGAAACTAAGGAATTCCAATGTATTCTTATTTTTTGTGATTGCCGAATTTTTGTATTGCATAGTGCTTTTAGCTACGAGTTACTTAAGAAGTTACACAAATCCACAAGCCTTGGAATAAAACAGGCACCTAAATTGATTAAAATCACTATCCTTATAGCTAGAGCAAGTTACAATAGGGCTGTGCAGGTGTGTATATGAAGTGTTTAAATTGGGATGACTAAGTCAAACCCAATTTAAACGATTCATATTTACACTCGTGCATATGATGAGTCCAGAACAAATTGAAGAATTTGTACACCTGTGATATATGGGCATCCCAAATCAGCACAGTCAGCCAACCTGGGACTCCCCATGTTTGGTGCTTCCATGCCAACTTCATTGCAGAAATTCCAAGCTTCCAATGCAAATCTGGCATTTGGGTTCTGCATTCCTGGGTCTCCAAGAACAGATATATAGCGTTTCTCTGGGGAAATTGCCATGGATGCCACTTCATCATCATCACACAGAGTGATAATAACAAGATGACGAACAAGAAGAAGAAGAAGACAAGATGATAAAGACAGAAAACCCATCATTCCTTGCATACAAGAAGAGGAATCACAAGAGTTTAATCAATTTTTTGTGATCACGGCATGTGTACTAAGGGAATAGGAGAGACGAAAGACACGCACCCCGTGCAGAGGGTCGTATTTCGGGCAGCAATAGTAAAAGACGGCAGGGCGGTAAGTGAGAAGAACGGGCTATGGTAGGGTCTCGCGTCGAATCCAAATAATTACAGTAGTAGTTGTAGTGGAGTTTTCGTTTCATTTCCCCCGTCTTTACTCCATGCCACTGTTGTCGCTTTAGATAGGTAGGTGGCAGATCAGGCGTTTCAACAAAGGCAATGCTCGGTTCATTTGTGGGGGGCAGGGAACGGCTCACGTCTAAGAGATTTTGCAGAAGACCCTCATGGGTCAAATTCGGGTCAACTAACCCTGTGATTAAAATAAACATTCTCGTTCTGTTTCAGAGCATCTCATTTTAGAGCATTTCTAATAGGTCGTTTATTACTATTCAATTCTTTATTTTAAAAAATTAATCATCAAAATTTTATCTTCAATACATACTTTATTTGGACACTTTAAAATAAATGTCCAATTTGACGCTATATATTTGAAGAGTCAAACTCACTATTTATCTTATTTTTTAAAAATAAAAAATAGTATATTTATCTTTTCATCTAAAATATTCAAGATAAAACATATCTCAATACTAAAAAAAGAGAGAAAAAATGAGTGAAGTCAAATGTATTCCTAAAAAGGCCAGTATAAAATAATAAATTAATAAGAATAGATAATTCTATTGGAGTGGTATACAAAATTTTACAATATATTTTAATTTTTTGTCAAAGATGATCTTTATTTTAAAAAATATGCGCTATATTTTAAAGAGCACTATTAGAAACGCACTTAATTGAGTAAGTGCATTAGTTGAATAAATCTCAACTGCGGGACGTTAGACTTGGTAGGGAATCAGAATTTATTCAAAATTTCTTGGAGATTTTTCTTAGTAGTGGCTAAGTTTTAATTACCTTATTTGTTCCTGTCAAATTTCTCTCTTATAAGGCTTAGATTTTGATATTGAATTAGATATTATACCAAATGTTACATTTTTTTTGGTCGAATTACAACCTTTTTGGGTCAAGTTATAGTTAAATGGAGTAAATTTATGACTAGAAATATTAGAATTGATCCTAAAATGATGACTTACCATTCCTACGCATTGTAACAATGTTGGTGGACAAGAAAGTGATGATAAGAATTTGAGCATGAGCTCCGCACGAGGAGCTTAGGAGTTCAGCCACACCCTAGCTCGCCAGCTCCACAATGATCTAGCTCGCTCATATCTAGCCCGCTCATATCTAGCTCGGTAGAGTCCTATGTTCTTATGACTTCGACTAATTCAACTTAGCTGAAACTCCTACTTCAGCAAAGAGTCCAATCCCACTTCACCACTTGCACCGCCTCAATTCAAATCCAAGATAAAAATCCTCCAATGGACTAATCAATTAGCCTATAAAAAGGGAAAGTTGGAAATCATCAAGTAAGTCATTCTAACTCTAGCTCAAGATTCTTCTTCCTTAATTCCTTTATGACTTAAGCATTGGAGGGTCGACCCCCGTAGCGAATCCACCCTTCGATTTGTTGTTTTAGGTATTTTCATTTTTTTGTCAATGCACGATTCTAGTCAACCACGTGACCGAAGCTCAATGAGCATTTTTTGGCATCATCAATTGGTGTCGTATGTGGGAAACGCTAAGTTTCCCATATCCAAGTTTTCCATAACAATGGCCATCACAAGGTCGCAAAAATCCAGCTAGAGACCAAACTCATGATAATGAACAACCAAGATCACAACCAACTAACTGGCAAAATCCAGCCTCGTTGCTATAAAAGGAAACTTCAAGGATGGAGAAGCTAGAAAAAACTATGGAGGAGTTAGTTCAATAGAACCGAAAAGTTTTGCAGTTACTTGTTCTCCAGCAACCCCAAGAAAAGAATTTATCTCAAATCCAATAGTATCGAGATGAGAACCAAGGGAATAAAGTACAAAGCCAAAATGAGGTATCTCGCCCCTAGGCGAATGACCAATGGGAATGAAAGTTTCATGAGGTCAATAACAAGCTTGATAATCTCATTAATATCATGAAGGCTCGAGTTCTTGAAGCAGTGAAGGTCCTAATACAACACATAGTGTCATCTTGTGCTCCTGATGTTGCCAACTATCCCCTTCCAATGAGATTCAAATTCAAATTCAAAATGCCAGTCATTGAGAGTTTTGATGGACTCATGGATCCATTCGATCATCTGGAGACTTTACAAGTCTCTTATGATGATCCACAATGTCCTAGATTAAATTATATGTAGAGCCTTTGCAACTACCCTCAATGGAATTGTCAAGCACTAGTTCAACAATTTGAAACCTAATTCAATCAGCTTTTTTCGAGCTTAGTACTTCATTCATCTCTCATTTCATTGGAGGGAGAGCTCACAGAATGCCCCTACTTACCTACTAAATGTGATCCAGACAAGGAATGAGTTTTCTTTGAAGCTTTATTAGTAGATTCAGCATTAAGTCCCTTCAAATTGACAACGTGAATAACAAGGTGACACTTACAACCACTATGGGAGGAATCTATCTCTCCCAATTCCTCTCCTCATTGTCAAAAGGTCTGTCTTTTAGCATGATAAGGTTACTTTCTAGAGCATAGAGTCACATGACCACAGAGGATACCCTACTAGCACGTAGGAGCTAGCAAGACAAACAATAGGAGAGAAAGAAGTGTGACCAACCAAACAAAAGCGACAAAGCTAGCTACCTAAAGAAGAACAAAGTGGAAAGGATGAATGCCAAAGATCGTTTAGGTCCTCAGACCCAAGGGGAGCTAGCTCGAAGATATACATCGCTTAATACCCCTCGTGAACAAATTCTTTTCCAGATCCAAAATGATCAAGTTCTAAAAATGGCCATTAAAGATGCGTACTAATTCTAAAAGGAGAAAGGAAAAAAATACTATAGATTCTACCATGACCATGGTGACAACACTGAAGACTATTCAATTCTTAAGGACCAAATCAAAGACCTTATCTAGAAGGGACACCTTGGTAGATTTTTTGAACACAGACGCCAAAAGAAGGTGAAAACACAACCAAATAGGGACAAGGTGCAATGCCAACAACCCCTTGGCTTGCCAAAGGATGAGAATGCATCTCAACTTGGAGAGTTCATGTTCATTGAGCAAACATTGAGTAGGAAGTTAGCTTGGTGAACCCAAAAAAGAGGCCTCACATGAACCAACCAATCACATTTATTGATGATGACCTCAGGAGGTCCAGTACTCACATGATAATCCCTTGGTGGTGACTTTGACTATTACCAATTACTCCGTAATAAGGGTCCTTATAGATAACGGGAGCTTGCGAACATCATATTTGCCAATGTCTTTGACAAGCTAAACATATGTAGGGAAATATTGGTACTCATCATTGCTCTGTTGATCGAGTTTTCAGGAGAGAAGGCCTATCCCTTGGGGGCCATTATTTTCTCAATCACAACTAGACGAGCCCCTCAACAAACCACAATTATGGTTAATTTCCTTTGTGCTTGAATGCTCCTTAGCTTATAATGTCATTCAAGAATGCTAAAGCCTCAATTTGATGAGGGCAGTGCAATTAACATACCATCTCTTAATGTGATTCCCAATGAAGGCTGTAATAGGTGAAGTGTGAGGTGATCAAGTGCTATGTAACCTCCATGAGGGAGAAACAATGTTAGAAGACTTTGTAGATATAGTCATTAGAACCACAAAAGATAAAGCCGAGCACTCCTAGCCTATTGATGAGCTGGAAATAATCCAAATTGGAGAATAGCCCAATCAGACTACTTTTTTGTGGGGTGATTCACACTTTTTAGTGATTGAATTAATATTATACACCCAAGTATAAGTGGTCGAATTGTAGTTTTCTCGATTTTAAGTCCAAGTATCGATCTCACGAAGATTTTTAATAATTTGAAAACGAAATAAAATAGTTAAGTTGCTAATTTGAATAGGACATCATGTCATAGCTTGTGATGTGAGCTTAGATTGATAATAAGTCTAAGTAAACGTTTATGTGCAGATAGAGTAAGACAATAATAAAAAGTATCATTCAGTTCAAGGATCTCATATGCGTTATATTGGTTAAAAACTGAAAATGCTACCTTACAGCAATTAACTTTCATGTTACTGGCAAGTCAATTGGTAGGTCTGATGTATATAAACCATCATACATCAACTTCTTAGATTAGCTGATGGTATCCATGACAATTGATTAATCCAAGCATACTAGAATAACAAGTCATTAATGAGGAATACTTGAATTATTAATTTGTCTTCATAATAGTAGTTGCATATATAATAAACCATGACACAGCCACTTCTTAGGTCAACTGGTGGTAGTAGTCATAACACAACAACTTCTTAGGTTAGCTGGTTATAGATGTGTCAATTGACTAATCCAAGCAAACCAGAAGGACAAGTCATTCATGAGGAATACTTGAATTATTCATTTAACTCTATTTGTGATATATATATATACCAGTTAAACATCATCAGCACTCCGATAGAGGATAAACCATACCGATAGGAATGCTGTGGTTGTTAGACTGACAATATTATCCTTTATACTAGTTAAACATCCTCAACGTTCCAGTAGAGGATAAACCATACCGATAGGAATGCTGTGGTTGTTAGACTGACAATATTATCCTTTATACCAGTTAAACAATCTGAGTAATCTAGAAGGACAAGTCATTCATGAAGATCACTTAGGTCATTTATCTGATAGTTATATATATATAACTTAAACCCTAATAATCCAGAAGGACAAGTCATTCATGAGGATCATTTAGATTTTGTATCATGCATCAGTTAACATCCTCAGCGTTTCGGTGGAAGACAAGTCATACGGATAGGAATGTCGTAGTTGTTTTAACGGCAAGCTGATGATGCACTGATGACATACTTCCAAGCACAACACCGAAAGTATGTACATCATTGTATCATGCATGAAACATATAATACATAAATATATAAAATATCAGTATTTTCAGAATTTAACCAGTATTATACATATGTTTACTTCCCATTGGAGGATATAAGTAACTACTCACGCCCCATTGCTATAGACAAGTAAGGAGTATGACCTGTTTTCATTACAATGGAAATTGAAATATAAACCTTAAAACATCTTTCACAAGGAACAACTGAAACACAATCACATTTATTATCAGTTATGATAAAAAGGTGACGACAGTTCAACTATTTGAATAAAAAGATACAACAAGAATGTAAAAGTACTAAGTTTGGAATAAAGTGCATCACGGACTGGATCCTTTTGCAACTTTTCTTTTTCTCTTTCTCTTTTATCTTTTCTCTTTTTTCTCTCTTCTCTTG